TTCAAACCAGAAAAAGGCCACAATGTTTTGATAATAGCAGTTTAGCCTGAGACCCACCTGTTTGAGCCATGAAATCTTATAGGATCAATGGTGGCTCATTAGCAGTCTTTTCGATATTTATTTTAGATTCTCAGAAGTATAAAAAGCCAGCTCAGTCGAATTCACCAAGATGATTGTTGTTCCCTCAAACTTGACTAGCCTTCAACTACTTCTTAACCAAGCTAACCCCTTGAAACCCCGCTCAGGGGTCACCTTTAGGAAGTCTCCTTGACTTGCCTACTCAGGGTACCCAGTATGTACCCTGTGCTTTCCTGATCACACTCCACAGAGCATAGCCTGCTCTAGTCAGAGTTTGTTCATCTCCTAGATTAAAGACTTGTTCTCGAGGTTGGGCATCTTGTCCTAGCTGACCTTGTTTCCCAGGGTCTAGTCTAGTGCCTGGCACCCAACAGGTCCGCAGTCAGTGCTTAGAAAATGAATGAGGGAGCCCTGGACAGTGAGCCTCGGCTGGTTGAGCGTCATCCTATGCACGGAGAGGTCACCGGTTGATTCCCAGTCTGGGCACATGCCCAGGTTTTGGGCTTGATCCCCTGTTCGGGCGTGCAGGAGGGAGCCTATAGATGTGTCTCTTATTGATATTTCTCTCTCTCTCTCTCTCCCCCTCTCCCTTCCTCTCTCTAAAAAATCAATAAAAACATATTTTAAAAAATGAATGAGGGAGTCATCGCAGTGTGTTCCACACTCTGCTTCGGTTGTTTGCTATTGCCAACGTTACTGATTGATTTGTAAACTTTTTCTTTCAACACCTATCAAGGTTCTGGTGACAACTTTGAAGAAATCACACTGAATTTTTGAGCTTGTTTGTGTTGATGTCTTTTTTGTTTTCCCACAGGAGGGAAAAAGAGGAGGAAGAGAGACATAAGTTGTATGACTCTTCCTTGCCACTTTCAAGTCATGATGAAAGCTCCTATGATGATTCTCATTTCAGGTAGCTAGAACAACAACAGGAGGAGAAAACGAAAACTGTGGCCAAAGACTGAAAAATAACAATCATGATTCCCAGGAGAGAGAAGAGAGTTCATTATAATTTTTGTAGGCTGAGTGAAAAACAGGAGTGAGGAGTTTTTTACTTGGGTGACTACATTTATTGATGCATTTAGTCTTTTACCCATTTTTTTATATTATAACTAATAATATTAAATTATAATATAACTAGTGGCCTGGTGCATGAAATTCGTGCACATTAAAAGGGAATTAATTAGAGAGTCAAGTCCCCTCACACCTGTGCAGGCCTCAAAATCACTTGAGACCCAGACCCAGTTGGCCCCACCCCCACGGGGCAAGACCCAGACCTGGCCGGCCACAGCCCTCCCCCCCGCCCCCCGGAGCATCACGTCAGTGCTGGGCGGGGACACACGCAGACAGCATCACATCCCAGGCCGGGACGCATGCAGGCAGCTTCACCTCAGCGCTGGGCAGGGACACAGGCAGGCAGCGTCACATCCCTGGCCAGGGATGCAGGCAAGCAGCTTCACCTCAGCACTGGGCGTAGCATTAGCACTGGGCAGGCCTGGGCGTGCCTCCACTGGGCGTGGAAGTCCCCGTCCCGCCCCCTAGCTCCTGTGCCTGCGCAACCCATTGACTGGTTGGGACTCAGACACCGTTAGGGCCAATTAGCATATTACCTCTTTATTATATAGGATAATGACTACCATTTGTTAACTGGTTACTCTGTGCCAAGCATTAAGCTAAACAGATTAGGAACATGGCCCCGTGTTAACCTTTATAACAGCCAGGTATAGTGGGGATCACCCACTGTGTTTCTACAGCAGCGGGCCCAGGTGCGTAGAGGCTTCACAACGTCCCTGCAGGAAACACTGGGTAAATAACAGTAGCTCAGACACAGTCCCTGTCTTCAGGGGCTCACATCTGTTAGAAAGAAGGTGGATGTATCAGCAAGTAAGTTCCAGAGGTGCTGTTCCACAGAGGGGACAAAGACGGCAGCAGCCTGGAGCCACGCAGAAACACTGTAAAGAAGTGTGCTTCACCTGAGTAGGCACCTGCCAGGCAGAAGGCAGGGGATGAGAAAGGGCTGGTGGCTCAGTGGGTGGAGCAGTGGAGGCAAAGGCTCCGAGGCAGGAGGTCACGGAGGTCCGTGAGCGGCTTCAGGAGAGGTGAACCTGGAGACGATCCCTGGACAAATCATGAAGGGATTTCCATGAAGCACTTGATTTCCTAAGTCGTGGAGAGTCACAGAAAGTTATCAAACAGGGAAACCGCATGGCCACAGTTGGACTTTAAAAGTCTTGATGTGCCCTCGCTGGTTTGGCTCAGTGGCTAGAGCATTGGCCCTCAGACTGAAGGGTCTTGGGTTCAATTCTGGTCAAGAGTACATACCCTGGCCCTGGTTGGGGCGTGTGCGGGAGGCAACCACATGTGTCTCTCTCACATTGATGTTTCTCTCTCTGTTTCTCCCCTTCCCTTCCACTCTCCCAAAAAATCAATGAAAAATTATCCTCGGGTGAGGATTAACAAAGAAAATAATAATAAAAGTCCTGATGGCAGATGGTGGTCTTCACAAAGGGAGGATATATGTATTTTGGGGGATTTGCAAAGTCTCCCATAAAGATTTACCTCTGTGTGGAACCCTAGCTATACCTCTTGACCAGTAGTCCCCAAGCTTTCTTGATCTTGTCTCTCTCAGTAAAATATTTATGAGAATTCAACCCCTAATAATACATTAATTATTTAGAAACTATCCTATCTAATAGAAGAAATATGCTAATTGACCCTCATGCTGTCACAAAGATGGCGGCGCCCACAGCCAATAAGGAGGGAATATGCTAATTGACTGCCCCGCCCCCAAAGATGGTGGCGCCCACAGCCACAAGATGGCAGCACCCAGTCCCCTCAGTGCTGCCGGGGTGGCAGGCACGTGGCAAGGCCAGGCCTGCCCCCCAGGTGCCCCCCAGCCACCCAGGGCCGCCCGAGGCTCAGGTAACCAGGGCCGCCCGAGGCTCAGGTAACCAGGGCCGCCCGAGGCTCAGGTAACCAGGGCCGCCCGAGGCTTGCGCTGCTGGCAGTGGCAGCAGCAGAGGTGTGATGGGGGCGTTGCCTTCCCCTGATTGCCGGGTCACCTCCCACCCCTGAGGGCTCCCAGACTGTGAGAGGGGGCAGGCCAGGCTGAGGGACCCCCCATCCAGTGCATGAATTTTCATGCACTGGGCCTCTAGTATATATATATAGGTGTCCCCTCAAAATGTATACATACTCTGAATGATTATAAAGTCAGTGTTTATTAACATACAGTTCATTTTCAAAATTTAAAAGAATCTATAGAAATAAATAATTTTTTTTTTGTCATCACCTGTTTTCAAACTGATGACCTTTCTGGTCTAGGCACTGCTTATAAATAACATGAAGCAATGGAATCATAAGAATCAATTTTTTCAATATTTGCACACCCTCAATTCTTCAACTTGTTGCCTGTTTTGTACCGTAAACTTTATCTTTTATGTATCTCTATAAAAAAGTCTAGTAGATAAATTTTCTTTGTTCAAAGCTTAGTCTGGCTTCACCCATTATTTCAAATCAGTTTAACCGGAAAAGGAGTGAAAATTAAGTGAGTTATCAGTTGTTAAAGTGTGTACACGCTTTTGGGGACACCCTATTTATATATATATAGTATGTTATATATTAGATATAAATATATATTTCCATACTAATATAGTATATATACTATAAAACATAGAGAAAATAGAAATTAAAAATGATGCGATAATAATGCATAACTAGAATTTCCAATATCTTCACCTTTATAATGGCTCTGCTGTGGACCTATCTGTGGGGGAGATAACCACTCGGGACCAGCCCCCACAGGTAAATAGCAATAAGGTAAAGGTTTCCCCCACAGGAAAAGATGAAGCAGTAGAAGGAGCTTTAACTCTAAAAAGATCTGGGGTTTTGAATCTTTGCTGCGCCCCCTCTGTGACTTTAGGTCAAGTTACTAAGTTCTCTTGGCCTGTTTCCTGGGGCTTAAAGAGTGTGGCTGGTTGTTATGTATAAGAGAGCTAACCCATACGAAGAGCTTGGCATAGAAACTGCCAATACGAATAGTCATTATATTATTTTTCCCTAAAACTGCTCCATTCTTTTTTTTTTTTTTAAATATATTTTATTGATTTTTTACAGAGAGGAAGCGAGAGAGATAGAGAGTCAGAAACATCGATGAGAGAGAAACATCGATCAGCTGCCTCCTGCACATCTCCTACTGGGGATATGCCCGCAACCCAGGTACATGCCCTTCACCGGAATCGAACCTGGGACCTTTCAGTCTGCAGGCCGACGCTCTATCCACTGAGCTAAACCGGTTTCGGCAATCTGCTCCATTCTTTACTGCAAAGCCTTGGGCCTCCTGTTGGAGAGCCTGGGCCAGCTCACCCCTGGGGGCAGCCCACTCCCTGCTCACTCACCGCTGGGAACTGAAATGGCGAAACTCCAGAAAACACACAAGTTTTACCCGCAGGGAAGCGCCCTCACGCTCCAAAAGGCACCTTCAGACAGGGAACAGCCGGGTCCAAAAACATCCTCCTAGACACCGCTACCGGAAGTCACTGAGGATCGGTGACCCCAGCCCTTTAGGGGCCTGAGGAAGAGCAGACTAGCTCCTCCTGTTGCAGATACCGAGAGACATTGAGGACAAGTGGTCTCCCTGTGCTGAGCACATTCCATCAGCGTCCCATTAACGTCTCAGAAAAGTCCCCGGAGGTAGATGTCATTGTTCCTGGTTTTCAAAGGAGGCAGCTGGGGTCCACTTGAGCCGAGGCAGGCTCCTCGGATGTCTCTCAAATACCCATGTCTCATCAGGCTACTCTTTTGCTTAAAACCTAGTTTCTCCCCATCCCCTAAGGAACCTCGGAGTAAAGTCCAAACTCTTAGACATGAGACCGCCATGAGGTGCCCCTACTCCTCTCCTCTTTCTCCACCCCCCACCTCTCCAGCCAGATTGAGCCCCTGCAGCTGCCCTAAGAGGCCCAGCTCCTCCTGCCTCCAGGCCTTGCTTGGCCCAAGCCTCTTCCTCTGCAGGAGATGCCCTTCCCCTCTCACTGGGCCCTCCTTCCCCAGCCGGCCCTGCTGCTGCTTCAGAGTCAGTGCAGAGGACATCTCCTCCTCCAGGAAGCTTTTCCTGACAATCCCCCCCCCCCCAAGGTCAAGGTCAAATGCTCCTCCTCTAAGCTCTCAGGCTTTTTATAGCATGAAAACTCACTGAGCCCAAAGCAGTGCAAGGAACGGAACGGCGTTGGAACATTCTGGGTTGGGCGATCAGAGCAGACCCATTTTGAAGAAAGCAGCCGGGCAGTTGTTTCACCGAGTTACTGCTCTAGGGCTGAGCAAGAGGCAGGCTGCACGCGCAGATGGAATAAGAGTCAAGGAGCAGATGCTGACCCATTCAGGGCGTTTTCCTGAGCTCTCACCGCCCTCATTCTACCATCTGTCGGGGACAAGACAGCCAGAAGTCATAGTGCTCTTTGCAGAAGTCCATAAAAATCTTAGCATTTTCAATTCTGGCACCCAATAAAGGACAATTGACTAGCATAACATCTGAATTTTTAGTATATCTGCAAAGTTTGGTATCTTAAATTAAAATATCACCTAATGTGTTAAGAATTCACAGCGAGCCCTGGCCGTCTGGCTCAGTGATTGGAGTGGCAGCCCTTGGACTGAAGGGTCGTGGGTTTAAGTCCAGTCAAGGGCAGGTACCTCGGCTACAGGCTCGATCCCCATCACATGCCAGAGGCAACCAGTTGATGTCTCTCTCACATCCATGTTTCTCTCGCTCTGACTCTCCCCCTCCCTTCTACTCTCTCTGAAAATCAATGCAAAAAATGTTCTCAGGTGAGAATGAACAACAACAACAAAATCACAACTAATGTTTTACTCAATTATAACTTTTTCTTATTCATTAGTTGTTACCACCTTGAGCAGTGGCACACAACAGAGTTTCCATAGCGAAAACTCGCTCAGTGCTCGGCCAGGGCCTTATTCTGCCCTGAGCATGATCCGTGTATTATTCAGTTCTCACAGCTTTCCTGCGAGATACGGGATGTCATTATTCTCATTTTACAGCTGAGGCTTGGGGAGGCTTAGTGACTTCCTCAGGCTCCCTCCCTCTCTTCCTTTCTTCTTTTCTTATTAGTCCTCACCTGAGGATATGTTTATTGATTTTAGAGAGAGAGGAAGGGAGAGAGAGAGAAACATCAATCAGTTGCCAGGGATCAAAGACTCTCTAACCAACTGAGCCACACTGCCAGGGCTGGCCTAATCTTAAGAGAAAAACTTAATATGAAGAAAGTTTTATGAGTTGTTTTGTTTTGTTTTTTAAAGAAACAACCACTGATACTGACTTATAGCTGGATGGTTTGGACTATGAAATCTTCCAGGTTAGTAGGAGCTTATAAATACTATTATTTTTAACATCCATTTTACAATGGAAGAGGAGACCAACCAGTTCAGTTCATTTTAACAAGTATTCATTGCTCTTTTCTCTTCCTTGAACATGGTATAGACCAGTGATGGCGAACCTTTTGAGCTCGGCGTGTCAGCATTTTGAAAAACCCTAACTTAACTCTGGTGCCGTGTCACATATAGAAATTTTTTGATATTTGCAACCATAGTAAAAAAAAGATTTAGATTTAGATATATTTTTAAAAAATTTTTTTTATGTGCCTCAGGCATGAAACAGCTCTGGCCACCGACACAGGCATCAAGCTAGGATGAACTAAGGACTGTACATCTGCTTTGCCCCTGACTGATATAAGAGCAACACCACCCATCAGGTGTCTCCTTGCCCATTGCCAGGGGGTTGATTTATATTTTTGATATTTATTTCATATATTTAAATGCCATTTAACAAAAATCAACCAAAAAAATGAGTTCGCGTGTCACCTCTGACACGCGTGTCATAGGTTCGCCATCACTGGTATAGACACTGTTTTTAACTGGCTAATTCTTACCTGACCCTTAAAGTCCAGCTCAGGCATCGCTACCTGTTTTGTAGTCTGTGTCTGTCTTCCTCTCTGTACTGTAAGTCCCCCAAGTTCAGACACTTTGTCTCATTCAGCATTGAATAACCTGGGCCTGCTCACGTGGCAGCACATAGTAGGGATTCAGCACATTTGTAAAATGGTGATGATAACGGTATGTACAGCATAAAGTTGTTAGGAGGATTAAATTGGTTAAAATTTTTAAAACAGAATAGTGCCTGATGCAGAGTAAACATAAGTGCTAATTAATAGTTCTACAAAGCTTGTTCCAAAAAATTGCACTCCCCTGGACCCCTTCCCATTCCCCACAAACAATACTTTCCACTTTCTTAACGGATTATTTTAGTATTTGATTTCCTTTTTACGTCTGAATTCCATGCTGCTCTGCTCCTTGATTTTTCGGTGTTAGGCTTTATCGAGTTCTCACTAGGAAAAGTGAGGACAGGGCTCTCTCTCACACGAACACACATCCCATCTCCCACCCTCCCAATGTGTTTCTGCTGTGGGCTCATTGATCAGCTTATTATACCATCAATACCATTGCCATGAGCCACTGAGTGTACTATGGTTATTTTTCTTTTCTTGCAAAACTATTTGCTATCCCTGGAACCAAGTTTCTCTCTTTTTTAATCTGCCAGTTTTCTCCCCCCCCTTTTTTTTCTTATGTACTTATCATAATTTATCTCCAAATTCCACTTGGTTGCATAAATCTCCTCCCAGTACATTCAGACACTTTACAATTCAAGCACGTCAAACTTAAACAAGGCATGCGGCCCGCCGGCCGCGAGTTTGACATGCTTGCATCGTCAATCAGCCTCACCTTCTGACCTGCTTCCCTCTGGGCAGTTGGTTTCTAGCTGTTTATGTCATCCTGGGGATTCCCTTCTTCATTCTCTAGATCACACTGGCTTTTAATCTGTTTCCATTTGTGTCTTTATGGTTCATCCACAGAGAAATGAGCAAGTCAAAAGCAATGCAGAAAAAGACAGCCCCTCACCTTCTGGCCAATCTGGAGGAATCCTTGTCCAAGAACTGGGAGAACTTTCGGGATGAAGCCTGCACATGGGCTTAATCTAAAACAGAAACAAGACAAACAAAAAATAATATTTCAGCACATCTAGTCATTCCCAGTCCGTGGGAAAAAGAATATTAAAGTTCACTCCTACCCTGGGCCAAAGTCAAGATGTAAAGTGAAGTTAATTCACCTCCATTCATTCATTCATTCATTCATGCATTTATTTACTAATTTTTTCATTCACTTGTTTATTAATGACACCATGGAATATATAATATTATTATGTAACATCGTAATCATAGGAGACATCATTTTATGGAGCACCTACTATGTGCTGAGTGCTCTGTTAAAGTGTTTTTAAACATTATCTCTGTTACTCCTCCTGTGCCCCCCACCCCACCCCCGAGATGATACTGTTACCTCCATTTCTCCTAGGAGGACACTGGGGCTTGGAGAGGTTGAGCAAACATTCAGTAGGTGTCTATTCGGTGCCATGCCTGCATTTGTCCCTGTGGAAACAGAGATGAATAAAGACCCAGTCTCAGCCCTAGCTGGTTTGGCTCAGTGGATAGAGCATCAGCCTGCAGCCTGAAGGGTCCCGGGTTCAATTCCGGTCTTATCTTGCCCTGCATGTGATTATCTGTTTCTGTATCTATCTTCCCTATGAGACTCGTGGCTTCTTAAGAACAGATCTGTCTCCATCTCCATTTCCAGCAGAGAGCTGGGCCACGTGTTTAATAAACGGTGCTTACAAAAACTGTCATGCACATGCCTGTTTATGTGCCAACTTTGGGAGTTTTTCAAACTTGGAAATAAACCTAAATAAATGAGAAAGCCCCAAATGACTGATATATATGTGTATATATATACTGTATTTGCCTGTATACTCCTCTGTGGCCCCAACTAGGGTTTGTATCTTGTTTGTTGAATTCCTAGCACCCAATACCTAGTACAGCATCTGACAATCTTTTGAATGAATTAAATATGTTTAAGGGGAGATGTACCCAGTGAAATTCTTTTTTTCAGGATGACCCTTCATTCTTTAGTTCTCTACTAGAGGATTTCTCAAATTTGAGCTCTTTAAACTCTAAGATTATATATCTATAGGCATCAGTTTGAGGAATCATATGCATCTATTGATTATAAGGTGGTTGTCCACAGAGGGGCAATAAGGTGTAATGGTTTAAAATTCAGATCTTAACTGTAATCCCACTGCCTGTTGTTGTTTTTCTTAGAATATCATAAAAACGACACAAAATTTTTTAATTTTATGGAGAATTTGTTGCCTCACTGAAGGATTTGAGAAACTGTAAAAACTAAATGATACAATTACTAATTGACAAAAAAGTTCTGGATTGCCCTGCTCTATATCTAGCACTTTCATTATTTTACTGTTCAGATTTAATTTCTTGCTCCATCTGGAATTTATTCTGGTACAAGGTGTGAAGTATGGTTCCAAATTTATTTTTCTTCCAGATGACCACCTAGTTGTTAAAACAACATTCATTGGACTCATCACTTCCCCACTGATTTGAAATGTCACCACCATATTCAGAATTTTTATCTGATATGGAAGACATCTTTTTTTTTATTTGAATGGCATCAGAATGAATTTTAAATACCACAGGGTTTTGCCCTACCTGGTTTGGCTCAGTAGATAGAGTGTTGGCCTGTGAACTGAAGGGTCCTGGGTTCGATTCCAGTCAAGGGCACATGCCCAGGATTGCGGGCTCAACCCTCAGTAGAGTGTGTGCAGGAGGCAGCCATCATGATTCACTCTCATCATTATTGTTTCTATCACTCTCCTCTCCCTTCCTCTCTGAAATCAATAAAAATATTTTTTAAAAATAAATACCACGTTTATTTAAACATTTAAAAGTTTTATATAACCATCAATATCATATTCAAACAAGATTTTTATCCTCACTTCACAAATTTATTACAGGCTCCTTTCAGTTTCTTTTTAAGTTTACTGCACACAACCTTCAAATATTATGAGCATTTCTCTCTCCCAGCTGTCACTACACCAAACTACATATGTTCTATTTCCCTAAATCCTCTTGCTGCGCTCTTTGCAGCTCTTCTGTACAGTTGATGTCTCCATGTAACAAGTTGCTCAGAAATCGCTATAATTATTTTAGGTGAGTCCTCAAAGTGAACGCCTATTGTCACTATCCAGTTCATCCCAGCAATGAGCATGAATTTCCATTCGGCATGAAGGACAGGCGATGTTTCTGGAAAACAACAGGTTTTGGAGAGCCATTTGTTAGCTCTTTAGACAATCGACCTGGGGGAGGGGAGCCATGCCCTACAAAATGACAACTGCTGTTGTGGGGATTTGTTTGCTATTGGTTCCAGCAAAATGGTCCAGACACTGAAGAAAAAGGGTCGCCCTGTACTGGGTCTTGAACCCAAAAACTGTTTGCACAGATATTCAGCCAAGACACATCACAGCCTCCACCTCAACAGATGCTCTTTCAAATGTTTCATGACTCTCTCTCCTCAATAGTCAGCATTTAAGAGACAGCTCTGCTGACATGAAAGCTGGCTTAACATTTCTATTTAAAAGCTGGACCAGACTGTGTTTGGCTTCTGTTGTGTATTTAACATTTCAAGTTAACGTTGTGGCAGGTCTTCGCGTCGCCAGCATATCAGCCAGTACCGGCGGCGGTCCAAAGTGCTGAGCAGCCTCCGAAACTCCATGTCGGTGCCATGCTTTTGAGAAAGAACGGATAGATGTGCACATGGAATCCGTGGCATCCGCACAGAGAGTGCGAGAGAGAATATGATGACTTCCTAGAACGCCTGCCTTGCAGAAAACGAGGATGACCCGGTGACCCGTCTGAGTGCCATCCCGTGGCAGCAGGACAAGCTAATAACGGAGGGGACTACAGCCTCCACCCACCTCCAGGAGAGGGCATCCGAGAGCAGCTGCCCGGGGTTGGAGGCTGATTTTCATGTTCCTTGTTCTCCCTGGAAAGTGTATGTACTGACAACTGACACTCTAAGTGTCTAAAGAAAAGATTGTGCCCTGGCCGGTTTGGCTCAGTGGATAGAGCTTCGACCTGCGGACTGAAGGGTCCCAGGTTCGATTCCGGTCAAGGGCATGTGCCCAGGTTGTGGGCTGGATCCCCAGTGGGGAGCATGCAGGAGGCAGCCGACCCATGGTTCTCTCTCATCATTGATGTTTCTATCTCTCCCTCTCCCTTCCTCCCTGAAATTAATACAAATATATTTTAGAAAAAGAAAAGATTGCTCTATCCTTTAATTAATTAAATTTCAAGTTAAGGCGAAGAAAACTTACTCTGCATCCTGAATGGGCTCTGGGTGCCTCACTCGCAAGCTAGAGTGGCAAGTGGCGAGAGAGTCACAGAGAAGAAAGAGACATTAGGAAACCCTGAGGTTATAGTGAAGCCAGTTATCAATGCCAGGAATGAACAACTGGGAGTGAAAAGAAAAGCCTTGAGCAGGAGGAAAAGGGCCCCGTATTCGTCCTCCTAACCGCAGTCCTGAGCAGGAAAAGGCAGCCACCTTCCGCAGCACCGCTCCTCCGCCTTGAGGTCTGCCACTTGGCGTCCCCTCCGCAGGGGTCTCTTCATCCCGGGCGGCCCCCACCTTAGGGCCTTCTTTCTCACAGCTGCTGCCTTCCCCCCGCGCCCGCCTCAGTACTAGCACCTCCAGATTTCAACGGGTGGTCTCAGTGCCCCTGGGCCCGCCTCGCCCCCCGCGCGCAGCCCCCGCCCCCTGGCCCCGCCCCGCCCCCTCGCGCGCAGCCACGCCCGTCACGCACAGCCACGCCCCCGCGCAGAGCCACGCCCTTGCGTACAGCCACGCCCCTTGTGCGCAGCAGCCCCGCCCCTCGCGCACAGCAGCCACGCCCCTCGCTCACAGCAGCCACGCCCCTCGCGCGCAGCCACGCCCCCGCGCGCAGCCACGCCCCCTG